ATGTCAAGGTCATTTTTGAAAAATATCTGGTTCCGCCAGGGAGCGAACCCACGACCTTCCGATCCGCAAGCGAGCGTCTAGCCGCTACGCCATGGCGACTCTCTTCGTTTAGATGGCGTGGGTTCAAATCATTTAGCAATTATTTCAATCAAACAGGTACCGTCTCCACAATGAGGGTTGGCTGTAATTGATCTTCAACACGCTCTGTCGCTTGGCTTAGAAGTACTGCCTCTCAAAACGCTGTTTATCCATCTCTTCTCCACCACCCACTTGTAATGTTGTCTACCTCTTGCTCTGTTACCCTCGACTTTTTCTTCCCGCATGGTTTTAAATACGTAATATGTCTGGCCAACATATTTGAATTGTCTCTCTCGTCCTCTCTCCCTCTCCCCCCCCCCCTCGCTCGCTCTCTCTCTCTCTCTCTCTCTCTCTCTCTCTCTCTCTCTCTCTCTCTCTCTCTCTCCCTCTCTCTTTCTCATTTAAAAAAAATTATTTTAATAATTCTCTTTTCATTCGCAGTCTATTAAGAACCACTCTAATTGAGGGTTTTTGTTGCCTCGAAAAACGACCTATTTTTCTGTGTAACCACATGTCCATAGATATTGTTTCGTTATGTTTTTTACAGTCATATTTTTTTTTACATACGATTAGAAGAACTGGTTTCGAGAACGTATTTACTGGCAAGACTATGCTGCTGACGTCACCAAACCGGGCTAAAGATACGTTAAAGCAGCTATTCTCAAACTGGGTGCTGCGGCCATAGTCTAGAATTCTTTGAAATCTGCTTAACATTAAATTTGCATTTTTTTCCTCAAGTATTCAAACCGCTTTTAGGGCAGATGTGCTTCACAAATGTTTGTTTTGCCCGAGGAATAAAAGTTTGAGAAACGCTGCGTTAACGTATCGTTAGCCCGGTTTGGTGACATCAGCAGAATGACGCGTCACATGGAGCCGGTCTTGGTTGAAGCCTCGAAGCGCCACTGACGTGAAGAAACAAGTTATTTACAATTTCACGTTTACAGACTGCTTGAGGATTCTTCCATGTTAGTGCCGCTGATTTAGGCAGAAGATATCATTTCTCAATGTGTGTCTTTGTTCTGAGTGTATTCGTTTCAATACTCAAAATTTAAAACACACTTTGTCACTACTGGAGGTTGTTATCATAATCAATTTTAAGGACGGTTTACGACTAGGGATTAAAAAAGTTGGGGGGGGGGGGGGTGGGGGATTGTCCTTGAGCCTAAAGATTGAGGCCCACATGGCTGGACAGTCGCCAAAGACAGTACAGGAGACTCAGGTTTGTTGCCCACAGGTATTTAAAAAAAATTGTATTACCTTATAAAGGTAAGTCAAAAACTACATCTGAACTCTAGGTAATAAACAGACAAGCAGAGAAAATCCAACTACAGTAGTACCTCTGTGTTCGACCTCCTTAACATCCTCAAAAGTCGAACAACTTAGAATGTGAACGGAATTTTCACAGTTTCAGATTTCCCTGGTTGGTATTCTATTGGAGACCAAGCTGTATTGGACAAGGGAAGACAATCCTCACGCCACAGACGTCATAGAAATCTGTGGCCTTTCCGTCTGGAAATCACTGGCAGGGATAACGAATGGACGAAGAAAAAGATGAAATATTATTAATGCGCACTAAAACTAGGCTTGCCGTCGGCTGAGGCCACAGTGAACTTTTAGTAGTGACGCTACTAATGTGATGAAATGTTTGTGGGCAATGTTCATTAGCCTTTAACTTGTTTAGAAGCTGTCGTGGTGTGGCGGCTAGACACTCGTATGTGGATCGGAAAGTCGTGGATTCAGATCCTGACGGAGCAGAACTTTTTTGTATTCAGAAATGACCTTGGCTACCAGGTCGACCCAGCCTCAAAATGGTCCCAGGTAAATTCCTAGGAAGTAAAGGCGGTCGGCGTGATTTTTACCACATCGCCCACTGAGTGCAGAGAGGTCTCTATAATATAGAGCTAAAACTATAGGCCTTATTCGCATAAGGACGTGGAACTTGTCTATGTCTGCAACTTTATCTGACCACGAATTATCTTGCATGTTTCAGATTGGAGTTACTATGGACAAGGTGGTAAGATATGTGTCCCAAACATCTGTATATGTTGTCCTTCTTAGTAGTCGTCTCCATCAGCTGCTCTACAAACTGGCCTGATTTTCCACAACTCAGTTTCTCCAGCAGAATATGACACTGAAACGATTTGAAAGAGAATTTTAACTTTGGTCAAAGTCAAATTGGAGAATATCGACTTCATTACGCCGAGTGAATCCCATACAACTTAGTCTTTCTACACAGAAGGGGTAGGTTCCTGCCCAAAACGTCGCAAAAGACACGAACTCCATAGCACCAGCGACGATCGACTTAAATTTAACCTCAGTTTATCTTCCCGAAGCGAGTCGAGCGCCTATTAGGATGGTACTGAAAAAGGAAGGAGTAGGAGATGATTTTTTGGGAAGGAGAGTGCTTCTTTCAATAAAACTTCAGGAATCTGAAACTCTTGCTTTTTCCCCCCTTTTTGTTCTGTCTAGTTTCCCCATTTGGACATGGCTATGGCTCATTAGGTTTGACTTCTACTAAAAATCTGCTCAAAGAACTGTGCTTCTGTCTTTTCCACGGGATGTTTAGGAAATGTTGACTTAAGTTAGGTTGAGGTAATTTATTAACCGACATCACAGCACTCAGGGACTTCTATAAGCGCTCCGTCCCCATCTTCAGCAGCCAGTGCAGAGTTTCAATACTAATGGCGTCAGTAGTATTCTGGTCAAACGTCCGTCTTGCCTTTCCTCTGAGCCTCGAGCATCCTGCCAGAACCTCTCGTCACTTCCCCCTGCATCAATCTCACCAGACTGTGGTGATCCATCTGCTCCTCCGAACTGTACACGCTCTCCCCACAAGGCACTAACCACGTCTGCCTTATCATGCATGAGTATTCCACCAAGTTGTACAGAGCCAGCCAGTCTGTCTGCCTATTCATTTCCCAACTCACTGGCGTATCCCGGAGAAAAATCCAGACAATATTCCTCACCCGTGGGGAGCTCAGCGGGAAGTGGCTAGGGGATTAGGCCGATACTCGACGCTCAGGGAAAAGGCAAGACGGACATATTAGCAGGATGCTGCTGCCATCATTGATACTGGAACTCTGCGCTGGCTGCTGAAGATGCCGACGGAGCGCTTTGGTAATGCCCCGAGTTCTGAGATGTCGGTTCTTGAATCAGCTCGAACTCAAATCACTTGATGCAGCCCAATTAAAAGACTTCCTGTCTTTTCCACTGCATTTTGAAAATCGTCAAAACCGTCTGTTCTGTGCAGATCACACTAGCTCCAGAATCCAACAGCATGTCCCGCCACGGGTTTATCTAGTATATCTGAAGCCTTAACACTTTACGTCAATAACTGCCAACCAGTTCTGCATTGACACACACAAACTGGCATGCCTCTAACATTCCAATGCCTGCAATGTTGGAAGGCGCATAATTTCACAGAGACAGTACGGGAATCATTTTACACAGTCACAAAACACATAATAAAATATTTACCTTCGACAGGAATTGGGTGGAAACTAACCAAAGCTGTTCCGAATAAACATATATACTTGTTAAATCTGACATGAAGACTGCACCGAGTCTTAATGTTTTGTGTCATTCGAAAGAGAATACGCAGGTGCCTTCCTAAAGCTAAGCTTTCTGATTCGTTATGAAAGTTATCTACATCACAATCATCATTAAGTGCCTTTTTGACTGACATGGGCGATCAGGCCTCTTCCAGTCTGCGATCTTTAACAGCATGTATTAGTCTGAATGCTGATAACCACCTCCATGCCGTGACAACAGGATGTCAAGAATCTTCTCACGTTGTCTTCCTCTGTTCTTTTTATTTTCAACACAGATAATTCCAGTGATCAATCTTCCAGTGTGCTTCTTTTCATAAGGCAAATCAAAAATGATGCCTGTTTCTTTCTGATGTTTGTAATGAGTTGTCGTTGAGCCCTCGCCTCTTTCAAAACATCTTGTTTGCTCTTGCTTTGGCTGTCCAGTGAATTCTAAAGATTCTTCTGTAAAAAAACATCCACGAAGGTCTACAAAATCTCTTGGCTTGTTTTTTAGTTGTCCAGGATTCACCGCCATTTGATGAAGTTGGCTGTATCTAGCATGCGATAATTCTTTGTTACTCTCCAGTGACATGTGTGTGTGTGTGTGTGTGCTTTTTTTCATGAAATGTTTATTGTCTTTAAAACAAAATGTTTTATCCTTTATCATTGTGACACGCCCGGCTCTCTAGCGTAGTTGGCTAAACCGGATTGGGCGGTGACCAGATGACGAACTCCTTGTAGTCCGGGTTCACTCCCGGGGGTAGGCAGAAAAGCCACATTTCTGCCAGATTTACGGTATTTACAATGGAATCAAGGCCGAAATGTTGCGATATCCATAATACCGAGCCTAAGGGTTAACAACTCATGGCTTCTTGATACTAAAACAAACAAACAAACAACAAACATCAGTGTGACATCTTTCTGCGGATGTTATCCATGTCTTTATATACTTCGATCTCTATACTTGTTGTAAAAAACAAGTAGACTTTTAGTACATATTTAGGCACTATTGTTTTTTCATCATTACTTCTGTCTTCCCAATAATCTAGCTAAAGCCCATTCTATAACCTTCTAACACTACCATATATATTAGCTCGTGGTATCCCCGTTACACCGATGTATTTCATGCTACATCCATTGCAGCTGATAGCGTAAATTACAATGCGGCTTGTGTTCAAAGAAATACGAGCCTGACATAATATGCCTGCATCCATCGCCACTGGTGAAAACAGATCCTTTCATGTCTCTGTTCCTGAGGGTTTTTAGACATTTTGTCATTTGGTGTCTTTTACGTCATGCGTGAAAGGGGCTGTGGGTCTATTCCTCACACAAACTAGGGGACCCTGAGAAGGCATACGTGCAAAACCATTTAATACATCTGATCTGATACAGGACCTGAAGAGTGGAAAGCAGAATTCTCTGCCTGCGGTGGGGACAAACAATCGCCAATCAACATCTTTAAGGGAGACGTACAGCTGGAGTCTACCTTAGCCAAGCAGCCCCTGCGGTTCCAAAACTATGACACAGTCAAAGGCGTGTCAATGACTTTGGAGAACAATGGACATGCAGGTAAGCGTTATTATGTGTGGATATTGTTGCCTGCGAATGTATTAGTTTACTAGTAGTGAGTTCTAAACTCATGCGAATTCATAGAGGCAAAGCACCTGATGGTATGATCTGAGCATACGAAACCGAATGCAAAGAAGAAGAAGAAACTCATTTACTACACTAACTGAGAATAATGCATGGTAGAGTCCATAAGGACATCCTCTATAGAGAATTACAGTTGGGCAGAATAGGTCCAGGCCGTCCTCTATTACGATGTAAAGATGTTTGCAAGCGGGAAATGAATGATACATGTATTAGGGTAGATTCGTGGGAACAAATTGCCGTGGATTGGAGTATGAAAATCAGAAAGAGAATAAAATAAAGGACAAAATAGTTGCAGAAAGGTTGGTACCTGCGCGTCTGAGGAGCAAACTAAAAATACCCTATAGGAACAATGGTTTTGAAATTGCATGCTCTAATTATGGAAGGTTGTTCTTAAGGCGTGCGGGTCTTGCTAGTCACACTCGCCATCGCCGTGGGCTGTGATTCCTCTGTGTCCCTATAATTCCTTATTTGGGTGTTTCCAGTTGGTATAATACCTGAGGACCCCACCCACACTTTCGAAGATCTGCCACTGATGCCACCCCCCCCCCCCCCCCCAAGTGAATCTGTTTTACATAACGGATCAACTTCATGGCAAAAGAGTTGTTACCCACTGTAACACTATCGTCTGGAATGACAGAAAAGTGTCAATCTCCTGTATTAGCGTGTCTTTCTGTCCTCCTGAATTCCTACATGCCTGTCTATTTCAGGAATGCAGGGACCGACTAGCACGAAGATGGGCACAGGATATAACAGGATAAAAGAGACACATTGGGTTGGAAAGTGCACGAGGCGGGAGAGAGAGAGAGACCGAACATCTTTCGTGTAGACTGTAATTACGACGATTGTCAATTGCTCTTCAAAGACTAAAACAATTGAATAAATTATGGAGTGGGACAGACAGAACTACAAAAACTGTCGCGTGTTGCCTAAATACAGTACTATCATATAAGTCGTCCGCTTCTAGGACGCAATTTTTCGGTATTTTTAAGCCCCACCCTTGCTGTTGGCGAGGGCCCTAATATAACCTAACGGTTGAACAGGGTTCCTGGGACGTCTCCGTGGGTGATCCTCATGCGCATGGCGATACTTTGTGTCACCGGGTGTTTATCGCTCTGTGTGATGTCCTGGTGGGTAAAATTTACTTACTAAATACAGTCGTCAGCTGATGAGCCTTTTAGCTTGTCATGCCCACCCACCCACACGCTCACTCACCCCATACCCCCCCCCCCCCCATTTACAAAACGGTAAAACTAACGTTGGTCTCCCCATTTACACAACACTATGCACTAGCTAACTTCTGATTAGTCGACCTTGAGACACGTGTCCTTCGCACAAGGTTACGTGGGTTTTCCGCAGTGTCGATGAAATCGCTTGTTGTATTTTTCAGTCTGCCAGTGCTTTTAACACCCCAAAAACATGGACAAACTGGGTCTAACACACAACGCCCCTAAAGGAAGCTGCAACCTATTTCACAGGCATTCCTTTTCTTGGAAGAAAAACGTCAACGCAAGACAACCCAGAAAGCAAACAACAGAGCCACACACCCGTAACCTGCAGGAAAGTAGACCAGCCCAACAAAATTTTCAATAAAACATGACCTACTTTTTCTAGGAAACTAACGTAAAACTAAAATGATCTGATGTCCCAGGTACAAATCCATATAGGCACATGGCTGATTCGCTTATTTTTAAATTGTGTGTGCATATGGCTGCAAAGTCGATTGTGTCCTGTTCTAAGGCGTAGAAAAATAACTTGCTTTGGTCTTTCCATAAAATGGTAATAGTTTTGTGCTGGTGTTGGTGGCTTTCTGATTGATTTGATTATTCTTTTACTGAAAAGAGACTGGTTTTTGGTGGCTTTCTGATTGATTTGATTATTCTTTTACTGAAAAGAGACTGGTTTTTGTGGCTTTCTGATTGATTTGATTATTCTCTTCTTTTACTGAAAAGAGACCGGTTTTGGTAGCTTTCTGATTGATTTGATTATTTTCTTCTTTTACTGACAAGAGACCGGTTTTAGTGGCTTTCTGATTGATTTGATTATTCTCTTCTTTTGCTGCTAAGAGCTTCGTACGTCAGGTTGTTCTTCATTTGCACCTTCCTTAGCTAGTTTATCAACTCTTTCATATCCGGAAACTCCACAGTGGGATGGTATCTATTGCATAGTTACCTTGCCTAGTTTGGAGATCAGTGTTCGTATACCAAGTAGTTTTGCAGATTGGAGTGCCCGAAGCACCACTCTTGCATCTGTTAGAAATACCACGGAACAAAAACTGGATATGACCCATTCCCACGCCCTCTGTCCTATTTGGCAAATAGGACTAGATACAATTTTTTTCAATGTCCGGCTTCGTCAGGACTTAATCCCACGACAAGGCGAGCGTCCAGAAACTACACCACGGCGGACCTACCCATTTAAAAAGCTTGTTGCGTATCCTTAAAATGACCTTGCAGAACCAACTCCAGCAAATTTTTGGCTGTTGTGGTTTTTCTAGGCAAATTTTACGTTCAGTAGTTTGCCACTGCTCTCTGGACGGTCATTTTTCTGCCCCACTGTCGAAATCAGAGCATGGCAAATCGCACCCCAGGCATTACGAAGCGCGTTCGCAACGACTAAGCCGTAAACGCCAACTCATAATACATTATTTAGACTATTTGTTAGCCCTAATATGTAGGTTGAATTGAAGGATAATTATAGTAGTGACGGAGGCATATGAAGCTAGATTAAAAAAAAGACCAATCATCATTCGATAGTATGTCTACCGCCTTTACTTTCAAGGAGATTTCCTTCATTCCGTTTTCAACTTCTTCTTAAGCATTCGGAGTCCTTTAGGTTCATTGCTGCAGATATCACCTGCCTACACTCATCTCTCTGGTTGGCCTTCTCTTTCCAGTTGGTGACACTAAGTTTTTGCAGATCTGTCTTGACATTATCTCTCCATCGTATTCTTGTTCTGCCTTGTGGTCTACGACCATTCATCCCCTTTTTGTATACAGTTTTTACTTCTCTGTCATCTGACATTCTTTTGATATGCTCCAACCATTTCAGTCTATTAGCTCTCATGATGCCAGTGATCAGTGGTGATGTACACAGATTTTTCATTTTGTTATTGCTTTTCATTCTCCATTACCCACTGTTTTCGAAAACCTGTAATAAGGCTTCATCTCTTTTAGTTGACCGTTTTCAAAAACAAAACAAAACAAAAAAAAATCTTCTCGATGCGGATTTGAACACGGAGACTTTCATACTAGTATTTAAGCATCTGGCAACAACATGTATAAAATAATAACATTGATTGTAAATAAAGACAATGCTCGTATTTTTACCTTCTCTTCCACAGCTGTTGTGAGTCTAGCAGGTAAAACACCGGTGACCGTGACAGGCGGCGGGCTTCCCTCAGGTGTCTTTCGAGCGCTGCAATTCCACTTTCACTGGGGAAGCGGCTCTGAAACCGGATCCGAACATTTAATTAGCTCACGTGCCTATCCTATGGAGGTAAGAAATCAGTAGAACGTTTTTCAGTCAAGTAGGGCGGGGTCAATGTACTTTTAAGTTCAAAAAGTGAAAACACTCAGGGTGACTGCAGGAAACGTAAATGTAAAGGTCCCTTTTCCACTTCTTTGGGTGTATTGGTGATACAGGGCTAGACCTATTTTTCATAGACCAAACAGAATTGGTGGCGGACGTGGTCACCCTCACGCCGGTCGCCTATACTTTCCAAGATTTACCTGGTACCCACTCAAGGCTGGGTCGACCTGGGAGCCTGTGTCATTTAAAAAAAAAAAAAGAAGGAATGGATCCCAGGACCTTCCGATCCGTAGGCGAGCGTCTAGCCGCTAAACCGCGGTGGCTACCGAGTGACTGCAGAACGAAGAGATTTATCTACTGAGCTCTAACTAAGAAACTAAACTAAAGGGGTGGAGTATTACATTGTTAAGTCCCCCACCCCCCTCCCCCCAAACAAAGGTAATTCCAGCAGTGTCCAAAAAGGAGCAGGAACGTAGGGTTTTTAAAAGCTTAGGATTATGTTTAGGGTCTTTGTCAGCTCTGGCCACCTCAGAGACACTGACTAACCCTAGACTTATTCTAGCACTAACCCTTACTCTAAACCGAAACCTTAATCTAATCTTAACTCCTAACTCTGACCCTAACACCAATCCATACTGAAGAAAACCGGGTTCCGCGAACTCGTCTGCGTGAAAACACTAAAAGACATGCTTAGGAGATCGATGACTGTGGATATGCCTAACGTATAAAAAACACGATCTGGAAAAGAACCTTGAACTTGTCCCCTGTACAATATTCGTCATGAGAAACTGGCACTAACTAAGGTTCGTACAACACCATCCCCGCAGCACTAGCGTTCATTCTGGACAGTATTCTAGCTTTCATCAGCAAAGCGTCTACTTTGGACAGAACGTATGCCAGCCTTTACGAAGCACTAACTTCCACAAAAGACGGCACACTAGCTCTCAGGCAATACTAGCATCCACTTAGAATAGTGCACTAGTTTTCCATAAGTACTGACGTCAACAGAGGACCTACATTAGCTTTCACAGAGTACTGGCGTCAACCGAGGACCTAAATTAGCTTTCACACAGTACTGACGTCAACCGAGGACTTACATTAGCTTTCACACAGTACTGACTTCAATCAAACACCTTTATTAGCTTTCACACAGTACTGGCGTCAATCACGGACCTATATTAGCTTTCACACAGTACTGACGTCAATTAAGGACCTATATTAGCTTTCACACAGTACTGGCGTCAATCACGGACCTATATTAGCTTTCACACAGTACTGACGTCAATCAAGGACCTATATTAGCTTTCACACAGTACTGACGTCAATCAAGGACCTATATTAGCTTTCACACAGTACTGACGTCAATTAAGGACCTATATTAGCTTTCACACAGTACTGACGTCAATTAAGGACCTATATTAGCTTTCACACAGTACTGGCGTCAATCACGGACCTATATTAGCTTTCACACAGTACTGACGTCAATCAAGGACCTATATTAGCTTTCACACAGCAACCAGATTAAAGTGAGAGTGACAGAGTGAGAGCCTGAGATGGAAGGTAAAAAATAACAATAAAAACACAGTGCGTCAGAGAGAGAGAGAGAGAGAGAGAGAGAGAGAGAGAGAGAAAGAGAGAGAGAGAGAGAGAGAGAGAGAGAGAGATTAAGCGAGAAAAAGAAAGAGTCGGAGATCTAAAGAGAGAGCGCGAAAGAGTAAGAGAGAGAAAAAGGAAGAGTGAGCAAGAGAAAGCGAGACTTTAACAGTAATGAATTGGGGGGGGGGGGGGGGGGAACGGAATGTAGAATAAAGAATAGAGTAGAAAAGAACAGAACAGAATAGAATCGGAAAACTTCAAATTCACAGAAAGAACTATTGTCCATCGATTGTATCTTTGACAAGTGAAGTGAGAAGGATTAAAATAAAATAAAACTTCTAAAAGAAAGAGTTTTATAAGATAAAGCAAACGAAGTGAGCTGCAGCAGTCAGCAAAGGAAAACTTGGCTTACTCTGAAGTGGCTGTTTCTTTGACCATTATGCATCATTAGGATTTTTTATAACAACAATATAGCTCATTTCAGTTGCACATCGTTCATTTCAACACAAAATATAAAAATGTGTCCGTCGCAATCAAATACCCGGATGGTCTGGCTGTTCTGGGATTTATGTATGAGGTGAGTATTTATCTGGCTCTTTCTGTTTCTTTTGTCCTACTGCATGTGCCGTAAAGTGTCACAGATTAGATATAGATTCTTGTGTTTTATCATACTGCTTGTGCCATAAAGTGTCACAGATTAGATATAGATTCTTGTATTTTATCATACTGCTTGTGCCGTAAAGTGTCACAGATTAGATATAGATTCTTGTGTTTTATCACACTGCTTGTGCCGTAAAGTTTCACAGATTAGATAAAGATTCTTGTGTTTTATCCTACTGCTAGTGCCGTTAAGTTTCACTGGCAGGATTTAGATGTAGCTTTCTTTCTTTTATCAGTAGTACAGACCCAACGGTCGACCACGCAGAACATGGACCGCAGAAATATTAGAGATACTGAAAAGTTTTATATATATATATATATATATATATATATATATATATATATATATATATACAAACACACGAAGCGAAGGGCCCGTTTCAGAGATCTCTTCCTCCCCTGACGCCTCGAGACATTCCAAGAGTGGAGAGGGAAAGAAAAAAAGGAGACCAAACTATTTGACTTTTTGATGTTCAGTAAAATCATGTCTCGTTACTGTGCCTACTCTTGCTGTTAGTTCTTCATTTGTGACTTTGTCTCTTCTTGGTTTTCCCATCGCATTTATTATACATCTCACATGTTGTAATTGTGTGTGTTTGTGTCTGTCAGTCTGTCTGTCCTTGTTTGGCACTGATGGCACAAAGTTGGTAGAAATAGCCCGTTTGACTGTTTTATGAGGCCCAAAACACATTGACTATTGCTGGATCTCAAAGCTTTTTTTTTTTTTTGCATCAGTGAAAGTTGGTCGATTTTATTGTACCAGGAAGATGCTGCGTGGTCTCGAGGCATGGTGTCTGCCTAGAGTTCTAGAGGTTTCGGGTTCAGGCTCCCGTAAAGGCTGGGATTTTGTCACGAGGACCTAGAAATATTTCCCTGGTCTCTAGGTAGTACGGCCAGACACCCGTGTGTATTGCTGCGCACGTAAAATAATCACTTGTAAAATGGAAATCGAAAAGAGTAGCCTAACGGCACTGACCAGGCAAAGTTTTTAGTTAAAAATCTACACAAAAAAGGTCAGGATCCTCGCCAGTGCAACGGAGCTCGTGCACTGCGCTAAGATTCTTCAGACTTGGGCTGGAAGAAGAACGGAGCACTTATAGGTTATACCCGTTTGCCATGATGTTGATTCGTTAAATCTAGTGCCAAACATGGACTCTATCTAAAGTCCATGCACACAAAATCTCCACTTTTAAGATAAGATGCCTGAGAAAAACCGAAAACCTCATCATCCGAGACCGAGTGAATAATCAAATTTCTGGGAATGACACTTTTATGAGATTCATCGAGAAACAGCAGATCAAGTGATTTGCCCTTTTCATTAAAATGCAGCAAGATAAAATACTATCACAGGCACTGCATGTCACAAGATAAGCTACAAGATCAAGAGGACGGCAGCGATAATATGGATCGACAACATTAAAGACACTCTACGCTCTCATGGCATGACAATAGCCAGTGGCCGCCAGCGTACACTGGATCGCAAATTATTCCTCCCCACGGCGCTTAACGGCAGAAGTTGTGGTTCATGATGACGATGAAGCCACAAGCGCTAAATGAACAGTACCACTTTCCAATTCGTCAAAAAATTACATTATTATTTTCATCATCACCACCAACATGATCACTGCCAACATCATCACCACCCACATCCTCACCACTAACATCATCACCACCAACAACATCATCACCAATATCATCACTACCAATATCATTACCACCGACATCATCACCACCAACATCATCCCCACCAACATCATAACCCCATACATCCTCACCGCCTACATTCTCACCACTAACATCATAACCACTAACACCATCACCGCCAACATCATCGCCACCAACATCATCACCATCAACATCATCACCATCAACATCATCACCACCAACATCTTCACCACCTACAACCTCACCACTAAAAACATCACCATCATCACCAATATCATCACTACCAATATCATTACCACCGACATCATCACCGCCAACATCATCACCAACAACATCATCACCACCAACATCATCAGCACCAACATCATAACCTTTTACATCCTCAGCACCTACATTCTCACCACCAACATCATCACCACCAATATCATTACCACCAACATCATCACCACCAACATCATCACTACCAACACGATCACCACCCACACCATCATTATCAAAATAATATTTCCCCCTGTCTGTTCCAAGGCCCCATCTAGGCGCTGTGGAGTGGGGTACATTCACTGC